TGGAGTCACCATCCCTGGAGGTATTTAAAAGACGTGCAGATGAGGCGCTTAGGGACATGGTTTAGTGGGCATGGTGGTGTTGGGTTGACGGTTGGACTCGATGATCTTGGAGGTCTCTTCCAACCTTAATGATTCTATGATTCTATGATTCTTCTCCAGGCTGAACAACCCCAAGTCTCTCAGCCTTTATTCATATCAGAGGTGTTCTAGCCCTCGGACCACTTCCCTGGCCCTCCTCTGGATCTGCTCTAACTGGTCCATATCTTTTTTGTACCTGGGATCCCACAGCTGGATGCAGTGCTCCAGGTGGGGTCTCATGAGAGCGGAGTGGAGAGGGAGAATCACTTCCTTCAACCTGTTGGCCACGCTTCTTTTGATGCAGCCCAGGATACGATTGGCTTTCTGGGCTGCAAGTGCACATTGCCGGCTCATGTCCAGCTTTTCATCCGCCGGTACCCCCAAGTCCTTCTCGGTAGGGCTGCTCTCAATCCATTCCTCCCCTAGTATGTACTGGTACTGGAGTTTGCCCTGATGCAGGTGCAGGACCTTGCACTTGGCCTTGTTGAACTTCATGTGGTTCACATTGGCCCACTCCTCAAGCCCTTCAAGATTCCTCTGGATGGCAATCCCTTCCCTCGAGCAAATCAACTGCATTGCTCAGCTTGGTGTGATCTGCAAACTTGCTGCTGGTGCACTCAATCCCACTCTCCATGTCATTGATGAAGATACTAAATTCTGCAGCATGAAGAAAACACACAAAACACATTACATCACCTTACCCATTATTTAATTTTTTTCTAGCTGTATAAATGCTAATAGCTACTCACTAGAAGGCACTCTAGATGAGTAGCTTTAAGGAAAACTGCCATATGGAATAAAACTGAACATTGTAGCACACCTCTCTGCTTCCATAAACAAACCCCTGCCAACATAGTGTCCTTTTGGACTAGTATATCAGCTGCCTGTGCGTTTGAAGTATGATACAGAGATCTTCATTTGCTCAAGCTTTTTCTCCCTTATATGCAGAAACTTCAACCTCTTCAACTCTCATTTGGATCCAGACGCTACAGTAATCTTTCCTTACACATATAGACACAACCAGTCACTCTTGAAACTGTTTTTATTCCCCAGACTCTAAATCTGTATCAGTAGACCATCAGCTTCCCATCTTGCACAAATGTAAGGTGCAGACACTTGTTCCACTTCCAACATACCAGCAGATGCATCACAAGTGCAAATAGGACCATATCTTTTTGAATGCATTCCAGATACTTCCCAAGAACTAAGTGCTTTCACTCTCTGGAATCCTATTCAGTAAGTTAGTTTTCTCTTAAGAGTTGCAGAATATTTAAAATATTTTTTAAATTAAAGTCCTTCTTAGTTATCATGTAAGCTGTTTCAAACCAGAATTCATCTACTTCTATCAAGGATTCTATGAAGAGATATACTCGAGTGCATACACAGTGGGTATAGTGTAGGTGGTTGAAATTGCTGCTCTTGCTTACCTATACTATACTATCCGTGTAGCTATGACAAGTGTCCTGAGTGTATTCGCCTCATTGCATACACACAGACTTTCTGTGTAGCACTAGTGCTATTACTCTGGCACTACCTGGGGCCACTGAACTTCTGTGAACACACTGTAGAGTTCATCTATGCATGCATAGCAGGCTGCCCACTCAGAATTACAACTGCTGCTGCAAACAAGTTGTCACACAATCCAGACAAAAGTATGAGATCTTCGGGTTCTTCCTGAACTTCATTTCTAAAATAAAAATGAGGATCTATTCAGGGGAATCAAAGTACATGACAGCTATACTTTAAAAGTGAGCAAACTCTAGAATTTCCTCACACTTAGGCTCAGGGTAATCTAGGGTCTTAGGGGAAAAGGATACTTTTTTTACAGTTTTCCTGCCTTTCCTTGGGAACAGTGTAATGGTCAAACACACTTATTGTAGTTACTCTTAAATTTATTGTGCCTACTTGTTTAGGGACTTGGTCTTACATCCTTGCAGGTCATGAGTTACTTAGGCTTATGGTGGCAGAAACATAATTTCTGGTTTTTATTTCATAGTTCTCAGATTTGTGCGTCTATTTTGGAAGAAATTAAAACCACCTGAAGGAAGTGAGGAGGCTTAATGACTAGAACCGTGCCTGGGCAAACACAGGAATGGCACACTCAGCAGGCTGCAGGTTCTTTCCAAGTGGGATTTGATGGTGCTTTCTCAGCATTAACTTCTAAGAAGGAGCTAGCTGAAATAAGACACAGCATCTCCCTCCTTAGTTCTTTCCTTGTGAGCCAAAGAGGGTGACGGTGCAGATTTTCCAGCCTTATTAGTCAGCCAGAGGTCTGTTCATGCTCCAGTGTTTGGTGTAATCCAGTTCAGGTGTTTGCTGTGGCCCTCAGGATCTGTTTTCACAGGTAAAGGTGACGTCTGAAGACCAGGCTGCCCCAGCCTGCCTGCTCCTGGTGCTCTCAGGGTGGCGGAGCGCACCTGGCCCTGGTTCCCTGTGGTCAGTACTGATCTCTTTGCTGATTCTTTGGAGGCTGGAGACTTCTCAGCACGGCCTTAGGTGGGAGATAGTCTGGGCTGAGCTGCGTGAAGGTTCATGGCCCAAAAAATGTCTCAGGCTGGATGCTGACAAACCTGCTTCCTGCCTGCCCTCCAGCCATGCCGCGCCCTCCGCCCAGCCCGCACAAAGCCCAGGGGAGCAGTCACCCGGTGCGTTTCACAGCTAAGGCTGACACTCCTTAGTGCACACACAGCGAAATGACACCCTCCAACACAGACGGGAGGAGGCAACGCCCTCCTGAGAGACTGTTTGTATTCTGGCAGCACAGTTAAGTACAGATGTCTCTCCATGTTACAGGCGAAGCACAGGTACCTTTCCAAACATCCCTCACAGACCAGTGACCCTCCTGGGACCATCTGTCCCACTTCACCTCTGATCACTATATTCAGTCATGCCAGGAGTCCCTCCAGCTCCATATTTGTTTTCTCCCTGTGGCCAGTGGCTTGGAGAAAACCACAAGGATCATTTTGCTTTTGCATCAAATTTATTTCTTCACTGGTACTGTTTTTCCTGCTTATTCATGAATATATTGACTGCCACAAATCCTTAGGGAACTAAAGTGACTCCTCGTATTGTAAAAACTACCCCACTTAGCCTTGCCCCTATGCTTCCTAACCTACCTTTCCAGCCAGAAATTGTGGGACAGTGGAAAAGTGTTCTGACAAAGTATTGCGTGCCTGTCCTGTTTGTACATACTTTCTCTAACCATCCTAAAACATCCTGTGGGAAGGAGTTCTGCAGAGTAAGTACAACTGAGAAAAAGTATTTCCTGGTGTTCAATTTGAACCCACTACCTGCTAGTTTAATTTTATGCCCTTTTAGTTCTTGTACTGGAGGAGAAAATGGACAGCTGTCCCTGGTCATACTGTGTAGATGTCTTCTCTAGACTAAAGAGTCAGTTCAGATTTATAATAGCCTTTATCAAGATGTGAGGAATGACACTTTCATATTCACAACACATTCAGGTTGTGAGTTCCCTCTGAATCTGTGTAGTGGTGTTATTTTCTCTATTCCTTACCTAATAATGCTTAGCATTAGCTGACACTTTTCCATTAAAGGTCCATCTTCTCCTTCTTGATTTATAACAGTGTTGAAATAATTAATCAATAAAATATAAAATTAAGGTTGTTTCACCACTTTATATTTATCAACATTATATTCACTCTGTCATTTTGATTGTCCAGTCAGTATCATAAGGTTCTTCTGCTGCTTCTTTGTTTTTTGTTTTTGTAGTTGGCTCTCTCATCATTACTGTTCTGAGCAAGCTAGCATTATGAGCAGTTTGCTGTCTGCATGACCACTCATCCCCTTTATGGGTTATATCTGAATATGTTGAATATGTTGGTCTCGTATCCAAGAATGAATGGAACTCTGGGAGCATTTCCTTAAAATGAAAGGCTAAAGACACTACTGAAATAGTTAAGAACAGGTACATAGGTGACTTGAGCACACCAAAATGGAGGTATATAGTAGACTGCTTTTTATTTTAAGAGAAAAAAAGATAGAATGAGAATTAGAGTGGGAAGATAAATCTAGACAATTCAGACTACAAATAAGGCTACATGTGTAGACTATAAAGATGATTTTCTATTGGAATACTTTGCACAGAGACCTGTTAGATTCAGTTGCTATCTCATATTAAGACCATATTTTTTCCTGTTGTATCGTGCAGCTCTACTAGGAGTTATAGTTTGAAGCAGAAGTAACTTGTGGGAGCTTGAGGCACAAGTAACAAAGCACTGATCTGTGCTATGCAGGCAGTCAGATACTAAGTCCACTCAGGCTTTATCTTGAAACTAATCTAGCTTTATACTTACAGCTATTAACGAGAGTGATAGTATGGGCCTGAAGTCCTTTTTTCTTCGACATCCAGGGCAATCCCTTCCATTTTGGGAGCAGAAGTGTTGGATGGCAATGACAATAGCAGCCACTTTCACCCTCTATACTCACACTTCCTATTAATGTAACTTTGCATGAGTGGTCAAGGACAGCCACGCTCTTTTTTGATTATGAGGAAGCCTATGTTGGCATGTCAGTGCTGGGGCCCCAGGAGAAGTATGTCCGAGCAGTGACATTAATTTAGGGTCAGAAGCCAAAGTGCTTTGGAGTTCTTTGCAGATCAATAGGATATTATTTATTGAGTTGTATTTGTGGCACAACAAGCTTGTCTTCCAAAAATTGGTTAAAATAAAATTTGTCTTTAGTCTCAAATAATAGGTTCCCTACAGACAATCGTCAAATATTGAATATGAGCCCCTTCAGCTCAGATTTTTCCCAACATCAAGTAATTGAAGAAGCAATCATGTCCCTTGGGTTTTATTTCTTCACGGATCTCATGAAGCTTTGTCTGACTTCTGACCATGTTACAACAGCAGGTTACCCTTATACTTGCCTGCATTCCATTCATACCATGCTTCTATTCATATGCTGAGGTGATTATAACACTCAATTTATAAGGATTCAGAGGGTGCAGTTGTATACATGCATATGCTTTTTGGTTTAGTACCATATTACACACAGGAAATAATTCCAGCATTTGGAAATGAGTTTTAATGGAGCCGAAATAATAACCAACAGCATTGTTCTTTAGAGGGGAAAAAAAGAAAAAAAAGGTAGCTTTAAAACAAAAGACAAATTTAAGCTTAGCAATTGGCAGCCTATAAAAGAAAGTTGGGCATTCTGTTAGATGCATCATCCTTGTTCATCACAGTGCTGCCCGATTTGATTTGTTCTTTATTGCCCAAAAACATTTGTGTAAAAGTAATGCTTAAGTGATTACCGCCTTTGCCTAATTTAAGGCTCCCCATCTGTTCGGAATGAACTTTCTCCAACATTACTCTGTGTGCTTTGAATCTCTTCCCTTTTGATTTTGCCATCATGAACCCCCAGCTCTCACCATTTATGGGCATGGATGTGTCACTGGAGTGAAACTGCTCTCATTGCGGGTTATTCTTTTCTTACAGCTCTCCCTCCCCTCATGGCTCGTCGATCTCAAAGCTCCTCACAGGGGGACAATCCCCTTGACCCTAACTATCTTCCCCCCCATTACAAGGAGTATTACCGCTTAGCTCTGGATGTGCTTACTGAAGAGGGCAAAGAAAGTTACCAACGCTTCCTTGCAGAGGAAGCAGCCCCTGATTTTCTTTGCAACTCAGAGGTGGATCACATCATACAGAATCTCCAGAAACCCCAGTATGCCAATCAGGAAGGTAGCACAGACACCGCAGGTGACAATGACATGGATGGATCCTCTGGGACTTACTGGCCCATGAACTCAGACCTCGCTGTTCCTGAGCTTGACCTGGGCTGGCCAATGGTCTTTGGGTTCAGGGGAACAGAGGTGACAACCCTCGTGCAACCACCACCCCCGGACAATCCCAGCATTAAGGAGGAGGCTCGCAGAATGATTCGAGCAGCTCAACAGGTGAGACAATGAACAGCGCAACTAGAGCTCTATATAAAATTATATGTGTGCGAAAGATGAATCAGAATGCATCAGGTTCTCTGCTAATTCCCTTAACTTAGCTCCCAGAACCTGACAGAGGGGAAGGATTATTCTAAAACTACCATTTACTACCATTTATGTAAAACACTACATTTTACCAACTACCATCAAAGCTAGTCTCTGCTCTCTGGTCTCATGGAAAAGCATGTAAGGCCATGCTAAAATATACCAGGAGTTCACAGAATCAGAGAATAGTTGAGGTTGAAAGGGACCTCTGGAGATGGTCTAGTCCAGCCCCCCTGCTCAAAGCAGGGTCGATTAGAGAGGGTTACTTAGGACATGTCCTTGAGTATCTCCAAGGATGGAGACTCCACAACCTTTCTGGGCAACCTGTTCCAGTGTTCAATCACCCTTAACAGTAAAAGAGGTTTTTCTTATGTGTAGCTGGAATTTCCTGTATTTCAATTTGTGTCTTGTCCTTTCACTGGGTACCACTGAGAAGAGTTTGGCTCCATCTTCATTACACCCTTCCATCAGGTGTTTATACTCGCTGATAAAATAATTTTGAGTTTGGAAGTACAGGTAAAGAGAGCTTTGAAGCTACTTCCCATATTATCAGCATATAGATGCAGCTATATAGTGGCTGACTGAACGTTGGCCAAGAAGTTTTCTAAAAATGGCACGGGTGTGTTGGAGGGGGTGAGCAGGTAGTGGCCAAGCAGCTCAATACAACTTTCATGTGGTTA